CGACACCACTCATACCACTCATGAATGACGTATTTTATTAATTTTAGAGTATATATCAGGTTTCTATGTTATTTATATTGTTTATTATGTCATATTAGATGAAGTGAGATAGATAAATAAGCAGTAGAGTTGATATTAGCGAAATTATTGAAGTACAGAATTCCACTGGAATGGATTAATTGCATTTCAATTAATTTAAATGAGGAAAATTGACTCTGCAAACGAGCAAATCCAGTTGCGAGCAAGGTCATGGAACGGATTAAACTCGCAAGTAGAGGTTCCACTGTATTTTCATTATGTTTGACCCCTCAAGGAAGGTTCCTTCTTGCTGGTGTGGGGTTCTTGATCCAAGGAATTGGACCTGGCTTCCCCTTGTATGGAACCTGATTGCCTCCCATTCGCTCAGGCAGGTTTAGTGGTCCCCCTTAGGAATATAATAATACAGTGCCTGTCAGCAAGACAGGCCTATAGCTCAACGGAACTTTATTTATATGTCACCACAATGTGTATGATTTTAAAATTGGGTGTGAAACTATGCTATCCATTATGATATTTTTTTACAAGCTAACCTAATGGGAATTAGGTTAGCTTGTAAAAAAAAATTACCCCCCAAATTTCACAATTTATAGTTCAACACACAATTTTAAATGTATACAATCAGCTCTTCTTGCAATGCACCTCTATACAGTGTGATTTTTATAAATGCCATGTAAAAAGTTCATTCAGAATTGAACAGTGAATGCTTTGAGACATTCTGTGCTATTCAATTTTGGATTTAAGCACTTTTTAATCACATTTACCAAAAAACACTATATCCAAGGGTTTTATAAGAGGGCTTACTGTATCTAACCTCTCTGTTTTACATCATGTTGCAATCACTTCTTCTAAAATTCACATTGTTTCTTAAATTTAAATTTCTATTTTGTTGAGGTTGGTTGTGTGTGTGCATGATGCGAGTGGTGGGCCTGGTGTCTGGCGGGAAGGACAGCTGCTACAACCTACTACAGTGTGTTGCTGCTGGACACCAAGTGGTAGCCTTGGCTAACTTAGCACCCAGCTGTGTAGGTGAGTTGTAACACCCAGCTGTGTTGGTAAGTTGTAACACCCAGCTGTGTTGGTAAGTTGTAGCATCCAAATGTGTAGGCGAGTTGTAGCACTCGACTGTGTTGGTGAGTTGTAGCACCCTGCTGTGTTGGTGAGTTGTAGCACCCGGCTGTGTTGGCGAGTTGTAGCACCCAGCTGTGTTGGTGAGTTTTAGCACCCCCAGCTGTGTTGGTGATGAGTTGTAGCACCCCCCCAGCTGTGTTGGTGAGTTGTAGCACCCAGCTGTGTTGGTGAGTTTTAGCACCCCAGCTGTGTTGGTGATGAGTTGTAGCACCCCCCAGCTGTGTTGGTGAGTTGTAGCACCCAGCTGTGTTGGTGAGTTTTAGCACCCCCAGCTGTGTTGGTGATGAGTTGTAGCACCCCCCCAGCTGTGTTGGTGAGTTGTAGCCCCCCTAGCTGTGTTGATGAGTTGTAGCACCCCCAGCTGTGTTGGTAAGTTGTAGCACCCCCAGCTGTGTTGGTAAGTTGTAGCACCCCCAGCTGTGTTGGTGATGAGTTGTAGCACCCTGCTGTGTTGGTGAGTTGTAGCACCCAGCTGTGTTGGTGAGTTGTAGGACCCCCAGCTGTGTTGGTGAGTTGTAGCACCCAGCTGTGTTGGTGAGTTGTAGCACCCAGTTGTGTTGGTGAGTTGCAGCACCCAGCTGTGTTGGTGAGTTTCAGCACCCAGCTGTGTTGGTGATGAGTTGTAGCAACCCAGCTGTGTTGGTGAGTTGTATCCCCCATAGCTGTGTTGGTGAGTTGTAGCTCCCCCAACTGTGTTGGTGAGTTGTAGCACCCCCAACTGTGTTGGTGAGTTGTAGCACCCCCAACTGTGTTGGTGAGTTGTAGCACCCCCAACTGTGTTGGTGAGTTGTAGCACCCAGCTGTGTAGGTGAGTACTGCATATACAGTAGTTACAATGTATGGACTGAGGCTAGCTCAAGTTATTATCTACTCAGATGATAGTTCAGAAATAACACTAGTATTTTTGGCCTACTCAAGATCCTCTCCAGGTGTCTGAGAAGGATCCCAGGTAGTCTGAAATGATTCACATTACTTTTGTAATGTTAACTGCAAGTTACTTCTGTACTGTTAACTGCAGGTTACTTCTTTATTGTTAACTGCAGGTTACTTCTGTACTGTTAACAGCAGGTTACTTTGTACTGTTAACTGCAGGTTACTTCTGTACTGTAGACTGTAGGTTGCTTCTGTACTGTTAACAGCAGGTTACTTTGTACTGTTAACTGCAGGTTACTTCTGTACTGTTAACAGCAGGTTACTTTGTACTGTTAACTGCAGGTTACTTCTGTACTGTTGACTGCAGGTTACTTCTGCACTGTTGACTGCAGGTTACTTCTGTACTGTTGACTGTAGGTTGCTTCTGTTCTGTTGACTGCAGGTTACTTCTGTACTGTTGACTGCAGGTTACTTCTGTATTGTTAACTGCAGATTACTTTTGTACTGTTACCTGCAGGCTAATTCTGTATTGTTAGCTGCAAGTTACTTTTGTACTGTTACCTGCAGGTTACTTCTGTACTGTTGACTGCAGATTACTTAATTGTACTACCCATACTGCCAGTGTATGGTCCACTCGGCAGTAGGTGACAGGTAAATCTTAGTCTTCTACCAACATTTACAATACACTTACCTATGTTTTTTGTGTTTTCTTAACGGTTCTTAGTCCTGTAATATTCGTTTCCAGTCTAGGTCTGGTCTGAGATCAAGTTGTGGGGGTGATAATCCCAGAACTAACAAAATATTTACTTCGCAATGCACAGTAATGCCTCGGGTTCTACAAGTACGTTGTATGTGCATTTGCTTTATGTGATACACTGTTTCTACCACTAATTCCCTGCGCGCAATGTAAATTCATTCTTATGCAGTCATTGTGGTTTAGAGAACAGTGACATTCCCTATAGTGACTTAAGTGTTGACAACTTGATAAGAGAGTACATACTACTGCTGCCATGGGTCTGGAACACATGATACAAGGAACTCCTACTCTATTTAGTAAGTAGATACATGTGTCCTTCACTTTATGCAATACAGTGGGCCCCCGCCTAACGTTGGCATCACATAACGTTAAATCCGCCTAGCGTTACATTTTATCGCGAAAATTTTGCCTCGCATAGTGCTAAAAAACTTGCTCAACATGATTTGTCCGAGACGCGTCTATGTGCGGCCTGAGCCAGCCTCACATGTTCCGCCGGTGGCATTGCTTACAAGCCAGCCTCCATGGTAACATCCAAGCATACAATCGGAACATTTCGTATTATTACAGCGTTTTTGGTGATTTCACCTGCAAAATAAGTGACCATGGGCCCCAAGAAAGCTTCTAGTGCCAACCTTACAGGAATAAGGGTGAGAATTACTATGGAGATGAAGAAAGAGATCATTGCTAAGTATGAAAGTGGAGTACGTGTCTCCGAGCTGGCCAGGTTGTATAGTAAACCCCAATCAACCATCGCTACTATTGTGTCCCAGAAAATGGCAATCAAGGAAGCTGTTCTTGCCAAAGGTGCAACTTCGTTTTCGAAACAGAGATAGCAAGTGATAGAAGATGTTGAGAGACTGTTATTGGTGTGGATAAACGAAAAACAGATAGCAGGAGATAGCATTTCTCAAGCAATCATAAGTGAAAAGGCTAGGAAGTTGCATCAGGATTTAATTAGAAAAATGCCTGCAACTAGTGATGATGTGAGTGAATTTAAGGCCAGCAAAGGTTGGTTTGAGAGATTTAAGAAGCGTAGTGGCATGCATAGTGTGGTAAGGCATGGTGAGGCTGCCAGTTCGGACCACAAAGCAGCTGAAAAATGTGTGCAGGAATTCAAGGAGTACATAGACAGTGAAGGACTGAAACCTGAACAAATGTTTAATTGTGATGAAACAGGCCTGTTTTGGAAAAAAATGCCAAACAGGACCTACATTACTCAGGAGGAAAAGGCACTCCCAGGACATAAGCCTATGAAAGATAGGCTTACTCTGTTAATGTGTGCCAATGCTAGTGGTGATTGCAAAGTGAAGCCTTTATTAGTGTATCACTCAGAAACTCCCAGAGTGTTCAGGCAAAAGAATATCCTCAAGGCTAATTTGTGTGTGCTGTGGAGGGCAAACAGTAAGGCATGGGTCACTAGGGACTTTTTCTATGACTGGTTACACCAAGCATTTGCCCCCACTGTGAAAAATTACCTAATTGAAAATAAATTAGACCTTAAGTGCCTCCTGGTTTTAGACAATGCCCCTGGTCATCCTACAGACTTGGCAGAGCGACTTTGTGGGGACATGAGCTTCATTAAGATGAAGTTTTTGCCTCCTAATGCCACTCCTCTCCTGCAGCCCATGGACCAGCAGGTCATTTCAAACTTCAAAAAACTGTACACAAAAGTTGTTTGAAAGGTGCTTAGTATGGACCTAGGAAACTTATTTGACTCTAAGGAGTTTTGGAGAGAATCACTTTAATATCCTCAGTTGTTGTAAACCTTATAGGTAAAGCTGGGAGGGAGTGACTAAGAGGACCTTGACTCTGCTTGGAAGAAAATGGCCAGAATGTGTAGACAAAGGGTTTTTGATAGGAATTGAGGCGAACCCTGGAGGCGTATGCCAGTTTGAGGAATCAAATTGTGGCATTGGGGAAGTCCTTGGTTGGTGTTAGTGGAGAGGATGTGAAGAGTTGGTGAGGAGGACACATGAAGAACTAACCATGATGAGCTGCTAGATCAAACTTCAACAGCAATAGGCCTGCACTGAGGAAAAATGCTTTGAAGGAGGGGAGAGAGAGAAATTGAAGAAGATTGCTACTTCAAAAGATTAGGAAATCTGTTGCAAAAGGTGGTTGAAAGTGGCAAACTTTATGGATGAAAATCACCCTCAGACAGCTGTTGAAGCGGGTTGGCAACGGTACACTGACAGTGTTGTGAACCACTTAGGAAAGTATAATGGATCGAGAGTACAGACCTCTATGACAGTAGTTGTGCGACAGAAGTCCAGTGACTCTGAGCTGATCCAGTGGCATTAAGAAGAAGGAAGTACCCTGGAAAAGGACTTGACACCCTCAGTCGTAATGGAAGGGGTTTCCCTTGATACATAGACCTCAACTCATCGCCTCCGCCCATCATCAGTCATCACCAGAATCTTCAATAAAAGGTAAGTGTCTGTAACTGTGCATGTTTCTGAGTGTGTGTGTATTAAATTTATATTTCATGTGCTAAAATTTTTTTTTTGTTTTACTTTGGGTGTCAGGAAAGATTTAATTTGATTTCATTGTTTCTTATGGGGAAAATTCATTCATTAACGAGAATATTTGCCCTAACATTGAGTCTCAGGAACGGATTAATAGCGTTATGCGAGGGTCCACTGTATTGTTTCCCAGGACCAGGATCAATGCCTCTGTGCGCTTGCTCTACCACAGTGGGCTCATAGCTCTTTGCAGTGCTCCCTTTCTTTGTATTTACTGGCTCGTCCTCCTTATTTCCTCTTCTAACACTAACTACTACTACCTCTTCTACTACTATACATACTTCAACTACCTGATGAAATTAAGACACTGTGGATGTTTCTGGTTTGTCTTTGTTGTGGACATTTCGCATCCAGTGGCTGGCTGGATGGCGAAACGTCTATGATAGGGATGCCCCGGGTATGTTGCGCTTGTGTCTTAATTCTTCTTGTCGGTAATTATATACCAATCTTGTAATTACTAATACTACCACCACTCTTTTGCCTCTATGAGGTCCTGTCCATTCTGGTTAGTGTGACTTTGTCAATGGTCAGTCGGACGAAAACATGGTGGTAAGCTTCTCTCTTTATGTGCAGGTTATTTGTGTTTATCAGTCACGGTATTTATAAGGGCTATGCTCTGAGAACCTTGCTTGATTATGTTTATCAAAAATATTTAATTACTCAGGGTGAAACCCAGCATTACAAAAAGAAATTGTTGGATAAATAAAAAAGCAAAAATCAGTTGATTAATCCTATTTGTTAATAGA